ATGCATGCCTGGCATAGAGTTCACTACAAATTCTAATCAGTTCTACCCTTCTAATAACATTATACAAAAAAATGCATCATCATCCATCAACCAGATGGAGCATGTTACTTATACAAAACATCTAGTATGCTTTTATTTTCCAATGTTAGAATGTGATAAAAATTGCCCACTCTGAAATTACAAATTATAAACAAATACTTTAGGCTTTATAAGTGTCTGCATACTATTTTATGTGAGTATATGAAATAGAGAGAATAAATTAAGGGGTAGCAAGGAAAGGAGGTTTTACTTACTTGAATATACACTGGCAGTATTACTCACAGGTGGAAACTTTATGTGGCTTATCCAACAAGGAAACTTTCTGTATATGCTTTATATGATACAGAGAAATTACTGGAGGTAAAGCTGGTTGGAAAATGTATTTCTTGTGAACAAATTTCTATTTTTCAGTAAAATTTGAATATCTAACTATTTTGTCCCCAAACTCAAATACTATATATCAATTTTTAAATGCTGTGATGGTCTTTATTGGGGTTGTGTGGGTGAATCATGCCCCCATTTCTCCACTATAGTCCGAACTCCTTTGTCAAGACACAGTGCCAGCATTTCTCACAATGCACTGTGAGATCATCTCATAATGAAGAGGCAGTTGCATCTTGGGAGATGTAGTTAGGATGATGAACCTAATCCATAAAGGAAATGGGAGGTGGGGGCAATGGAACTATAATTCCCATGAGGCATTATGGCAGCACATCCAAAATATTTCATGTTTGGGGTACTGTGGTCTTGAAAAAGATAAGTTTTCTGTGGAATGCTGACCATTTTTGTGAAAACATTTATTTTGTCAAAAACCCAATTTTCTAGTGAAAAGCAATTTGGGTAGAAAAGTTTCAATCAATCCTCATAAAAGGGTGTTTTCATTAATGTGATTGCTGCTATTTTTCACATCAACTCAGCTGGAAAGGCACACATTCTTAGTTCGTGTGGGGGAAAATCAAAATAACAACACATTTGAGAAATATCTAAAAATGTTATATTTATAAGGTCTGATATTTCAGAAATGTCAAGGTAATAAGCAAGTACTAAATTTGAAGGTGTAAATCAGCAACAATTTTTCCCCATTAAGGATTCAACCTGAGATGGAAGTCAATCTAGCTGTGATCTTGGATGGGTGACATGAATTTGGATGACAGTTTACTGGATTTTAGAAGCTAAATTCTCAGGGTAACCTGAAGTACACCTACGGAAGCCAATAAAGTTTTTTCACATTTCTAATAATGTAACCGAGATGAACCCCTATTTGTTACAAGTTTCCTCACCCCTTGAGTTTCATGTTTGTCACTGAATTGTAGTATGGTAACACTAGGAGCACTGTATCTTTTAGGAATCTTACTAACCCTACAGTTTTGAAGGCACAGATTTTTTGGTGTAGATTTGTTAGGTTTCATACCAAGGCCTCAGTTAATCACAACAGTTAAAAATTGTCTTACAGTTAAGTGTTGGCCTAAGTGATTGGCTGGATGGGGCAGCACTGGCTAGGTTTCCCATGAACAGAGGAGAGACAATAGACTTCTCTCACCATTCTGCTTACCTAAATAATTGTAGTATTGGGACAGAACATTATAGCTGCAGCCCATGGCGTTACATTTAAATTGGAAACCTTTTGGGGCAGGGCATGTTTTTGTCCTGTGTTTGTAGAGTGCCTAACACAATGTAGCTCCAGCCCAGGAATAAGGTTTCTGGGCAGAAACATCACCATCACCATATGGTGGCCTAAAGGAACCAGAAGACAGCTCCAGGCCATTCCCATAACCGGGTTACAATCCACAATCACCCTTCAGTTTATGAGTTCACTGGGATGCTAATGGTGTATTAAAAGCAGCAATTCCCATAGGGATGATTGACAAAACACACCAGGAACACATTTTTCTTTCTGTTCTTTGGGAAAGAGCAGCTGCACTGCTACCATTGGCCTGTGGCTGTGCTGGCGCATGTTGCTTTAAAAGTCTCCCTTGCCAGTTTCCCATTCATATCCATTGTTTCTGCAGCTCACAGCTCTGAAATGTTCCCATCGCAGTCTCTACACAGAGGTGCCTTTTTATTTGTTTGAAGTTGGAGAAAAATGGGCCAGTTGTTCTCAGAGCACCAGGGGACAAGCATGACGACTTCTTGTTAATGATTCCCATTCCTAACAAAGTCCGGGTGATAATCTAAATGGGTGGAAAGTTAAATTGGAGGGTGGGGGGCAAATAATTCTCACTGAAGAGGGAATCGCAGCATTCTGCTTCCTTTCCATTCCCTCCAACTGACGAGCCTTTGAGAACTGCCTGCTAGCCGTGTGCTGCACATTTTGGTGCAGGGACTTTTGGTAGGTCTGTGCACAGCTAAGGAAGGGTTGCCAAACCGGCAAGGTGCAAAAACACCCCGAGGGCTGGTCTATTCATTGTGAGGCATACAGGAGAGACCCTCGTGCTGATGCATTTTGGTAGGTCAAGCCTATGGTTTACTGGAACGACAAGCCTGTGACACTTATAGTCTTCTACTGTCTATAGGGTTGCCAGGTGTCTGGTATTGACCCAGACAATCCAGTATTTTTGCCTCCTGTCCGGTAAAAAAACCAGAAAATACTGGACACCTAAAATGTCTGGTATTTTCTGATTTTTTTCCCTTGCCAGGCGGCAAAAATACCAGACACCTGGCAACCTTATGACACACCCAGCAACCATGCCCAGCCTCTGACACTTGTGTCTGGAGCAGAAAAACAAGATGGCCACTGGCAAAAAAGCCTCTTCTTAAAGGGGCCATGCTTTTTTTTTTCTTTTGCTTAACTGCTGTCGGGGTCCTTTTTTCTTTTGTTCAACAACTTTGGTCTCTTCCCTTTTTTCCCCCTCAACAGAATTTTTTCCCGCTTTTTTTTTGGGGGGGGGGGGGGAAGGTGTTCGGTATTTTTGGTTAAACCATCTGGCAACCCTAATTGTTTAGACCTGAAGTAGGTTTTGGTGAAACTCTTTTGACTGGGCTGATAGGGACGTTGGTACAAATTCTAGAAAACACTTTCCCCATGTGATGCTCTGGGCACTAACCAATGCAAAGCCTTCCACAAGCCCTTCTGCTAGAACTACCCTAGAAAAGATTTTCGGAAGTTCAAAGAAGAATATTTTCTCCGAACCAAACACACACACTGACAGCACAAAGCAAATGCTCAGCTCCCATCTAAATCTGCCTCCCGATATTGTACCGTGACATGCAACTTTACTAGGACAGACATGCGGCAGCAAAGAACAAGCAGCATACAGAAGATGATGTTGGTTTGGGGTAGAGATTTTGCAAATGGGACTAATGCAGAACTAGCAGTTGCTGTTGCACGAGCCTCCGTCACAGAGACCCCTAGGTTGTTGTTTTGTCTCCCTTTGTGCTTGAATCATAGACACAGAGAATGGGAAAACACAAGCCTCACAAAAGAAATGGAAATAATAATAAAATACATAGCTACTGTCATTGTAAGAGAGCCAGCAGAGAAAATCAAAGGCTGAGATTTTCTTTTGTTTGCCATTAGATAGTGTTGCATGATAATCTAAATGGTGCTTTGATACCCATTTCAGCGCTGATGAAAACATTTTAAAATGTTCATAATTACAAATGATGTTACTAGCCCAACTTGCAAAGAGCCGAATATGCTCTCCAGTCACTGCCTGCATTGCTTGTCGGCCCTGGTAATTGTATGGTGTCTTAGAAACACAGTGGCTCCTCATTTCAATGAGAAATGCTCTCTCCTTCGAGAAGAGGGACAGTCTTGTGGCTAAGATACTGGGCTGAGATTCAGGACAGTGAGTCACTTTGTGTCTCTCTGCCGCCATTCCTCATTTGCACCAGGAGGGTAGCAATCCTTTCTCCCCCACCGTTTGTCTGTCGGGATGTTTGCAAACGGTAAGCTCTTTGGGGCAGAGACTGCCAGGTCCAGTCTCCTTTACACAGGTTTATCATCCAAATAAAAACAAACAAAGCAGTTCCTCGGCTCACCCTGTGTCCTAGTGCATCATGGCCTCCTCTCCGAGGGAACTCTAGTGTTCCCCCTTCTTACAGCGTCCCAGTCGCTCCCTTATCTTTCAGGGAACATGGCTTTCTCTCTCAGCCCCCAGTTCCTTGTTCCAGGGACCTTCCAGTTCTCCTGTGGCTTCCTACCCTCTGACAGGGCCTTAGAGCCCAGGATAGCCTGGCTCCTTTTAATTGGGTCCCTCTACTCTGACCCAGGGGGCAATGCGCCAGCTACCCCATGGCAACGAGGCTCCAATGTATCCGGCCTGATGCATTCCTTTTCTGAAGAGGTAGGAAAGCTGGTCATTCAGCCCTAAACTGTAGCCCTGAGACTTGGGCACCACCATCTTTTCCTTGTCTGAACACGGAGGGGAGCCAGCACCACCAGAAACGGAGGTGGGGGAGGAGGAGGGGGAGGCTGCCTCTGCAGCATTCTGCCCTCTTCCTCCTGCCTTTGGGAAAACTCCCTGCCCTTCAGACACATGGCAGGCTGGGGGCAGAGGAGCTGTTGAATCTCCCTCTCCCAGGCAGCAGCTGGAGGCTACATGCTGCTGGCTTGCCTCTCGGAGCTTTGGAGGGTGGCCAGCGGTCACTGGGATACAGCTCCATGGAGAAACAGAGGGGCCCAAGGGCCCTGGAGCCAGTGTGGAGACACAGGGGTGTGCAGGGAGGACAACACTCCTGAGACACAGCTAGTTGTTGGGAGACTCCCCCGCTCTATGGGCTGAGCTCCTTAAAGTCCTCCCCACACCTTCCCTAAAGAACACAGTGTGGGCCTGGCCCAACCCTCACTGAAATCAACAGCCCACGATCCTTGGCTCCAAGGATCCTAGCATCGGGGCCTGGATTCCCCAGCCTGGCTCTTTTAAAGCCCACCAGAACAGAGCAGATCCCTCTCCAGAAACGTCCCCCCAGCGCCCATCGCTTCCCCTCCGCAGGGCCCCGGGGGGCAGGGTTCAACTCACACTTTATCCGTGCCATAGCTCCGGTAGTCGACGGCGGCGGAGACGGCCACGATGAGGGCAGGCATTCCATAGCCGACCAGGTAGAAGTACTTCCTGCGTGAGTGCTCGCTCTCAAACACCTCCACCAGCATGATGTACAGCTGCACCCCCTCCAGGAACATCCAGGTGAACGCAGCCAGGAAAAAGAAGTGCAGCAGGGCGGCAAACACAGCACAGGCGATCTGGGAGAGTCCAAAAAACAAAGCAGAGGGCGAGGTTTATGCCCAGCCAAAATGACTGGCATCATCATCCCCACAGAAACACAGATGTCCTTGCTTATTGCACGTGCCATTAAGCCCAGAATCTCTCTCTGGTGGAGGGTGTATGTACAGGCAGTCCCCGGGTTACATCGGATCCCTACTTACAAACGGGGTGAGGCAACCCCGCACTAGCTGCTTCCCCCCAGCAGACCAGGGAGACGCGAAGCTAGCGCCCCCCCACCCCCCAGCAGACCAGGGAGATGCGGAGCGGTTTTTCTCAGCAGACACCTCAGCTTGAGAATAAAGGACTGAGGGAAGTGAGGTGTGGGAGAATAAAACTGAGCTCTGGAGAAATGTTTGGCTAGAGTTTCCCCTACAATATGTACCAGTTCCGACTTACATACAAATTCAACTTAAGAACAAACCTACAGTCCCTATCTTGTACGTAACCCGGGGACTGCCTGTATATACACATATGTGGTTGTAGCTTATCCAAAGAAAGTTATGTTCTATCCCTGAGGGGCTGACAGGCTTGTCAGACTCCTGGGAAAGATGAGGAGAATGGCTCCCTCCTCCCAGAAGGGGCGGGGCCATGGGCAGAAAGGGCGGGGCTAGGGCAGCCAACCTCAGCACTGCCTGGAGCTCAGCACGTGAGACTCCAACGGAGATTTAAAGGGCCCCGGGGTAACTGTCCCTTTCCCTCCCCCCCACCCTCGTTGTGCCTGTCTATGTACATTACCCTAAGCACAGCATTGGCTGAAACCCCTGTGCCCACCTCCTGCCCTCCCACAACAGAAACTAGATTCTTAGGAGGGGACCTTTTCCAATTCCCATCGACCAAGCAATTGTTCCCTGCTTCTCACGAGCGTATAAACCGGGATTAACACCTGGAAATATTGCGAGGCCTTGGTTTCATAAACAGGCATCAGATAAGCACAAAAAGGACAATCACTTTGAATATAGTTTCTACTGAAGCCTATACGTGTGGGAGAATAGACGTAGTTCTTTGAACAGGCCCATTCTGCGAGGCAGCTGAGATGCTAGCAGATGCTCTCAGAACTCAGTCATCTCGCCAGCAGCTGAGCCCTCCGGCGAGGTGCTGAGAACTTGCAGGATCAAGCCCTAGAGATCCAGCCACGAGGTGCCAGCCCTCGTGAGGCTGAGGGGATGAAAAGGCCCCAGGGTGAGGGTGCATCACTGCAATAATATTTCTGGCTGCCTGCAGAGCTTGTACACGGCGCATGTTTCCCTGCTATCCAGGGTTTGAATCGCTTGGTGATTCCCTGTTTGGTTCCCTTCCTCGGGGGCACCTGGCATTGGCCACTGGCGGCAGATGGGGCTGGATGGAGCTTTGGTCTGACCCAGTGTGGCCGTTCTGATATTCACGTGCATCTGTAGAGTCGGTGGAACATGGCAAACAGAACATGCAGAATTTGTTCCTCCCAAAGCTCAGAAACCTGAGATTTGCCCACCAAGTGTCTGCAGGTGTCAGCGGGGCTCAGCCGTAGTCTTTGCCAACTTTTTTCTTCAAAGGGAACATTTTTTATTTGTGTGAGCACAAACAGAGCAGCTGAAATAGGTTTTAAGAGTTGTGCAAAACATCCTTCTCCCCCCTCCCCACTTTTTTTTTGCTCAAATTGAGCCTCTCAGAACCAGCCAGATGGAGTTTAACTTGCTACTCAGGAAGTTACTCAAGTGGAGAACAAACAGCAGAAATTTGTTCAGGAAATCATATGGACTTGATTGGAAACCTATCTAAGTAAATGGAAAGTTGCCTATTGATTCCAATGCACTTTGGATCAGAGAGGAAGACATCAAATAGAAAGCATCTTCTCAAGAATTTCTGTGCTGTTGCTGGGGAAACGCGAGACACAACATGCTTTTAGTGGATACATTTTAAACGGGCATTCAGCGTGACATCATGGCCCCACTAATGTCAATGTGGATTTTGCCACTGAGCATAATGGACTAGGATTTTACCCTTGGTTACCAAACAGGGCTCCAATCAGTGTTCCCTGTACGGCCACCCAGGAGAGATTCAAATGCCACCCAGCTGATTAGCCCACAGCCAGCAGCACAGATTTCTATGGGTGGTGCACATCCACACACAGGTTGGTGCACAGAACAACATTTATTATGCACGCAGACGGAAAACATGAGAGGGAACATTGGCCCCGATCCTGCAACGAGATGAGCGTGAGCATCCATCACGCTCCCGAACCGGGCCCCGCTACCTCCACTGATGAATGAAAGCGAGGAGGAGATGCCTCCCCATTTCTCCACCAAGTATCTTACTGGCTGATCTGTTCGGTTGATCCCGATGAGGAAGAGGAGTTCCGCCACAAACAGGCTGATGCACAAGTTCTTGTGAATCGTGTTCCTGTCGCTCTGGAGCCCGCGGAAGAAGCAAAAGGTGAAGATGCAGATCAGGAGGCAGACGAGCGACAGCAGGATGCCGACCCACGTGATCACGTCCAGGAGCAGGTCGTGGACCGTGTCGCTGTGCTGGAGAAGACACAACAGGAAAAGAATCAGTCACACGCGGCACACCCGCTAATCGATACTGAGCAAAGCTAAGCGGTCAGAGACCCTTGGACAGACGCCTGTGTCCACTTCCCAAGCACTGGCACAAGGGACGGAGAGCTACTGAAGGGTATTGGGACTAAAACATGAGAATGGAGCTCTGTGTTAATGTATCCACAACTCAACAGCCATGCTCTGTTCGCTCTCTCTCCCTTTGCTGTGCTTTGTCCATCAATACAGTAGTAAGGCAGAGGGGGCCAGACTCAAATCCCTTGATTGACTTCCAGGGGCCATTAAGGATATATAGGTGTTAAGGGCAAAAACGGGGGTTATATATTATTTTCGTTTATTCACAAGGGGGCAAAACTGATGTATCAATGCATAGTGCTGGGAACTGAAAATGAATATTGGTACAATATCCTGGGAAACCAGAGATCTTGTGTTTTAAATCCACGTCGACTCAGGATTGTAAGGTGGCTCAGAAATTTCGCGTGCGATGTGCTCTCGTTCTTGCCTGCCCAAAGCAATGCCCCCATGGTCGCTAAAGCAGAGGTGTTTCCCTTTCCCTATCATAAGCCCCAAGAGCATGAGCAGCCAAACTGGAGGGAGGGGGTAGGCCATGTGCTCTTGTGGTGGAGAGCAGGATGCGGTGGGCTGCCATTTAAACATTTCTGGCCCCGTTCCCGTGTTTGCCTGGGCATTTGCTTCCCAAGCAGGGCACGGACGCTTGCAACGCTCATCTTGGAAGAGAAGGGCCAGTGTTTTGCTGGGGGGAAATGTCTATGACAGATGGAGTCAAAAGGTGATTAATTTGCCCTTTGGTTGCCTGCCTGCCAATGATAAAGCTGTAGCATTGTCAGGCTCTTACTGATATACACTCCCGCTATGTCAACACCCATCACAAACAACTCAAGCCCTTTCAGCACTCGGGCATTAGCCGCACGATTGATGGGCATCAAATGCGAATGAAAGAGGATGAGTGACTTTCTTCTTCCCCCCCAGAGGCTGTTGATAAGGGTCTGGTCTGAGATTATGGGACAGTTTATTCCCACTGCACTCTAGCCACTTTTGGGGGGAAATCTGCAGGGTTTCAGAGACTTTCCGATTGCAGATGTGCCCCAACAGCACAGACTGAACATACCTCTATTGTGACAGGAACAAAAATGTCTATTCCATCCCAACCGCACCCACAAAGTGGAAGGGAAGAAAGGGCACATTCTGCTCCTGACAGAGGTGCATTAATTTATCTCTGTGCGATTTCATACTCACGACTTTCCTCTTAACTTGGTGCAAAAAGAGTTACTACAATCCCCAACCCTCTGCTTGGTGCGACACTGCTGGGAAGGGGTGGGTAACATCTTCCCAAGGCAGTGCTAAGCAGAGAACTGCGAGCCACAGACATGGGAACTACAGAGCCGGCACAGGCAGATAAAGGGGTGAGACAACCAGGTGAACTTTGGAAAGCAGGAATCAATCGCCCCGGGCTAACAGCACCAATCCAGTGAAACAAAAAGCCAGCCTGGCACGTGAGGAGTTTTCCGGAGCAGCAGAACGCCCCCAACTTCATGTGGTGAGCAAAGGTGCGCCAGCATCCCAGCACCGTGCAGGAGTGAAAAGGGAGAGTCAGAGGGAGTCTGCCACCTGCTAAGACGAGGAGTGGGGGAGAGGAGTTTGCACTATAGGAGCCAGAACTGACACCCTTTGCACACCCTTCCTGTGTTTTTCAACGACCATCTCTGGGACTTGGTGGGGGAACCGGTTAGTTGCTAAGAGAACAACTACGCTGCAGCGTAAGACCAGGGCTGGTGGAACTCAAGTTGAGTTTGTCCACCAGCGCCTAAGCAGCTACACTCATTTGTAACCCGAGGTTGCAGGCTGGGTGCAGAGGGAATGATGGGAAAGCTCACGAGAAAGAGCTCCATGCGGCGACGCAACGGGCATCCTCACTTCTCACTGAAGTCAATGGGAGCTGAGGGCAATCAGCAACTTGCCGGACGGGGTGGCCAGTTGGGATACAGGGCTGAAAAGCACTCGCCATTAGCGGAATCAGTCGGAGGAGTAACGAGAGATGTGGAGGGGAATCTGCTGGCGTAGAATTGCCCTGAAATCAGCCCGTCCTGTCCCTGATTATAACTAGCTAAAACGCTGACTGTAAAGAGGGGATGAAGTTGTCACCTTCCTCTGTGTTACTAAGTCGAAAGCTGAACTGCAGGTTACCATGGATACCGTGTGTGGTGAACACCGAGGTCCCCTTCTGGTTCCATGAACACAGGTGTCACTTTGCTGCTGTAGAACGAGTGCTCCCCAGGCACGAGGGAGAGGCCATCCCGGCCCAGGGATTGCGTTTTGCTCCCTCCTTCCTGCTGGCTCTTCTTCCCCCCCGTGGGGCAGCTCTGCTAACCCACCGCGACCAGCTTTTGGCCAAGTGCTCTGTCTGTTTTATTTGGGAAGACCAGCTCCCACAGCTGAGCGAGCCTCTCCCGGTCCTTGTGCTCAGGACACAGTCTGCCAGCCACAGACGCTGAGTCCATGGGTGGTCGGGGGCTTGAGCACCACAGGGAAAAGTCACATGCAACCTCCCGCCCGCCCCTCTGGCCTGTGGGAACCCCGCCAACCCAATCCCCTCCCAGCACTTCTGGAGAGCCGCCAAGAGCTGATGCGTGGTGTCCAGGCAGCTCCAGGGGAGAGGAGGAGGGAGGAGTGTGGGGGGGTGCCTGAGAGGGAGAAGGGGGCAGGAGCAGAGGGTTGAGGGAAGCGGTGAAGCAGGGGTTGGTTAGAGGGGAAGTCAGGGCCCATGCTGCCACATCATGGGCTCAACCCTTGGGCAGCCTGGCAAGATGGCAGGACACCTAGCACTATACCTTTATGCCCTAGCATCTCCTTCAAGGCACTCCTCTGCTGGGGAAGCTCCCAGGCCTGTGTTACACAGGAGCATGCTTGCTGACGGGGTGGGGGTAAGGCAAAGGGAGCAGTCGCTGCTGGGGCCCAGGAATTCAAAGGGAGTCCCTTTAAAACGCTGCCTCTGGTCCTGCCCCTTCCAGGAGTACGGAGCTGCCTCCTGACACACACCTTGCCCAAGAGCCTGTGGAAGCTGTTGGCTCCCCTGCGCTAGAAGTCAAGCTGGATAATTGCTGTGGTCCCTTCTGGCCTGGGCATGTATGAATCCAACTCTTACCAAAATGGAATCTCTACAAAGAACATCTCATTGCCACTGCGAGAGGTCAAAATACGTTATGACTGAGAAATGCAGCCTCCATTCTTCCCGGGGAGAACAATCTCCCGAGTTTAGTGTCTGTATTTAGTGGCAGGAACAGGATGAAACTGATCTCGGGCACACGGATCAAAGACGTTCCTCAGTTACACACAGAGGAACTGCATGTTCCAGTGAGTGCAGAATCTAATCAGACAGGAAGTCACCCTGAAGTGCGCTCTCTTCATGAGGATGGCATTGATAGGGTCTATGGAGGTAACAAACAGGGGGGAAACTTGGTGCTTGCAAACAACAAGTTGCTTGGATTCCACGTAAGAAGGAAGATTTCATAGAACGCATGACTGCGAAGTCTTCCTGCCCCTCTCGCCCCATCCTCTGGCTCTCCACAAGTGCTGGGAATGAAAACTGTTTATAGGGTTCAGGGTAAAGGAAGCAGCTGCAAACAAAATACTGCCATGACCAGCAAAATCGGGTGACTGCGCAACAAAATGGCAAATTAATTTGAATGTTGACAAATGCAAAGTAATGCATCTTGAAAGGTATAATCCCAACTACATTTATAAAACGATGGGGACTAATTTAGCTATAACCACTTGAGAGAGAGAGAACTTGGGAGTCTTTGTGGATAGGTCTCCGAAAACATCCACGCCATGTGTAGCAGCTGTCAAAAAGCAACCAGAATGTTGGGAATCATTAAGAAGGGGACAGAGAATAAGACAGAGAATATCTTACTGCCTCTGTAGAAATCCACGGTACGCCCATACTTGACTACTGCATACAGATGTGGTCACCTCATCTCAAAAAAGATCTCTTGGCATGGAAAAAGGTTCAGAAAAGGGCAACAAAAATGATTAGGGGTGTGGAATGGCTGCCATATGAAGAAAGATTAAAAAGATTGGGACTTTTCATATTTGAAAAGAGGAGATGAAGGGGGGATATGATAGAGGTCTATAAAATAATGACTGTGTGGAGAAAGTGAAAAATGAAGTTATTTACTTGTTCCCATAAGAACTAGGGATCACCAAATCAAAAAAGTAGCAGGTTTAAAACAAATCAAAGGAAGCTTTTTCTTCATGCAGCACACAGTCAACCTATGGAACTCCTTGCTAGAGGACGTTGTGAAGGCCAGGACTTTAATAGGGTTCAAAAAAAGCTAGAGAAATTCATGGAGGACAGGTCCATCCATTTTTATTAGCCAGAGGCTGGGGAATGAGTGACAGGGGTGACATCACTTGATGATTCCCTGTTCTATTCATTCCCTCTAGGGCACCTGGCACTGGCCACTCTCAATAGACAAGATACAGGGCTAGAGGGACCTTTGGCCTGACCCAGTTTGGCCATTCTGATGTTTTTATTTAACATTTACATCCATGCTCCGGCTTGGGAGGGTTACATTTTTAATAGAAAATGTCAGCAAACATTGATTGCACTGTATGCCCAAATGTATGAAGAAATATTTCCATTGATATTCATCAAAATGTACAGTTAGGCAAAGTGTGAAAAGTGCTGCTTGAGACCTTATTCGAGTTTGAGTTATGGATATTTATTTTGCATCTGTGGACATGTGGTATTGACAAATTGTGTTTTAACGGCTATCTAGCTTTAACTTTCTGATCACAGGGTCTTCTGTCATTAAATAATTATTGTTCTTGTGTATGATTACCCCAAACTGAACATTTCTCTGGATCCAAATAGAACAATGTTTCAAAACAATAATGTTATGCAACAGTGACAATGTAAAGAGATAAAAAAAAAGTCTTAAAATAAACAC